ATTTCGGGGTAGAAAAAACACGGCAGCAGCTGCTTCGGTATTATTACTGGCCCGAAATGTTGACCGACGTGCAGCGACACGTGGCATCGTGTCCCACTTGCCAGATCATGAAGTCATCACGGAAGCGGCCGGCGGGACAGTTGCAGCCAATCCGACCTCCAGAGCGTGCTTGGCAGCAGGTGACGATGGACTTCGTCACGTGGTTACCGGCCGGGGCGAGTGGGAATGACGCGATCCTGGTCGTCGTCGATCGACTGACGAAAATGGCACACTTCGCAGCCTGCAAAAAATCAATCACAGCCGAAGAAACAGCCCGCCTCTTCATCTCTACCGTCGTTCGACTGCACGGGATACCAGCATCAATCATCAGCGACAGAGACACGAAATTCACCAGCAACTTCTGGCGGAACCTGTGGCAGCAGTTCGGCACACGACTACAGTTTAGTTCATCGTACCACCCCGAAACAGACGGACAGACAGAACGGACAAACCAGACCATGGAACAGCTCATCCGGGCCACGTGCGACGACCCAAACACGTGGGAACAGCAACTACCGCTCATCGAATTCGCATACAACAACGCCCCATCCGCCACGACCCAACAGTCACCATTTTACCTGAACTACGGACAAGACCCAACAGTACCCATGACCCCGAATCCCGACAACCCGGTCCCACGCGCGCAACAGTTCGCCGAAATTTTGCAAGCAGCACGGACCAGGGCAGCAGACGCAATAAAAAAAGCTAACATCATCGCTAAACGCAACGCCGACCGCCACCGCAGACCTGTCACTTATCAGCCCGACGACTTAGTTTTGCTCGACACCCAAAATCTCCGACTGCCCATCACCCCGAAACTCCGCCCCCGATACTGTGGGCCATTTCGCATAAGCCACATGCTCACACCCGTCACCGCCCACCTCCTCCTCCCGGCTGATTGGTACGTCAGCCCCTCATTCCACGTCAGCCTGCTTCGCCCTTACGTCCCGTCCACGAGCCAACTGCCACGCAATCGCCCAGCTAGCATGACCAGACCACCAACCGAACCGATCATCACCCCCGAAAAAATACTGAGTCACAGGGTTCGCGACCCTAGAGGAACCCGAAGGATCGAATTCTTACTCCGCTGGAAGGACCGTACACCCACCGAAGATAATTGGGTTCCCCTGGACATAATCGAAAACCACCCCGTCCTCACCGAGTATCTGCGCAGCCGAAACTTCAGGGATGTACACACACTTTCGTAAGAAGGACCTCCTTGAAGGGGGGAGGGTAGTGTAAGGAAAACCTCTTTTTCCTTACTTCGCATCCCTGCTCAACGCGTACATCACTGTAGCACCACAGTCAGCACCGTTACCACTCGCAATCCTCGCATCGACAATCCACCCGCCACTTTCGCACGTCGCACCCCGACCTCACGGCTCGGCGGGTAACCCGCGCTCCGGGCCTCCGCTTCGACACTTTTCCCAACCTCAGTCCCAGGCCCGTCGCGCGACAACCACAGTCCATTACCGTTACCACTGTAGTTTCGCTATATATTCTTCGCTCATGCCTTCGCTCATTGTACTCTTGCTTCGATAGTGCAATTCTCGTTCGTTCACTCAATTGCACTCGTAACAGTAAGACTCGCATGACCAGCTGCGGGAATGTAAAACGTCGCAATGCAAGTGCTGTGACGAGAAAATGTACACACCGAATACGTCTCCTCTTTCGAATTAGGGCTTTGGTCCGAGGCGTATAATCCGTCGGATCTCAGGAACGACGGATGTGCAAGATTTCATGTTTCGGACAATATGTGTTTTCCCATTATCAGCAGTCAGCGACCTTCAGAGCAAGTCACCTCATGTTGACGGTCTTGAAAGCTTGCTGACATGGCAAGACGCGCCAACTGGACATTGGACATTCTTCAACAGGGCAGGAGATGCCTCGACACGCCTCAGCACGCCTCGAAACGCCTTGACGCATCTCACGTCTTGACATGCTTAGTTGACGCGCTCTCGACATGCATGCAGACCCCCGGTGCCCATGCAAATTCCGAAAGGATGGAAGGAAACGATGGAGTCGATTTCTCCCTTTCTGGCATCTCGCGTCGCCATTCCCATTCTGGCTTCTCGCGCCGCCATGCCAGGGATGATGTTTCTGCTGCTGATTCCTCCAACCGCGCTCTCCTCATCCTCCTCCTCTTCTCCCACCCCTCCGCTTTCTCCTCCCTCTCGCTTTTCTCTCGCCCTCAATTTCAGCACTCCTACCCCTCTCGCAGCTGCTCATTCCGTCAGCTCCACCCGCACTCCTCTGGCGTGTCTCGGTCCTCCAGCTCGGTTCGTTCCTACGGTGCTTCTGCTTCTCTCCTTTCCCGTATACAGAAAATTTTCAGCGGCGTTGTATTCTCACTCACGTGGTTTCCTCCCGAGCGAAAAGAAATTCAAGCTGGTAATCTTCCTACCTTGATACCTTTGGGCGATTGCTATAAGCAACCATGGCGCTGCTTCGCCTCTCTCCCTTCAAGCTCCCACCGCTGCTACTACTCCCTACCTCCGCCCTCCTCCTCTCCCTCCTCTGCCTCCTCCTCCTCCTTCCTCCACTACCCTCCCCTTCTCCCATGCTTACCGCTCATGCTATGTCACCTGCTGCCGAACCTGAGTCTACCACCACACCTGCTGCCGAACCTGAGCCTACCACCACACCTGCTGCCGAACCTGAGTCTACCACCACACCTGCTGCCGAACCAGAGCTTACCACGCCTGTCGCCGAACCTGAGCCTCTGGGTTGGCTTTCCGTTGGTGCTGCAGCTCGGCTTCACCAAGGCTGGCGCTGGCTGGGCGTCGGGCCTCTGATGTCGAGCCTGGGAACAAAGCTCGGGCAAGGTCTGGGAAGGAACGCTGAGGAGGATGGGGGAGGGGCGGACAAGGCTAGGGAGTTTCTTGCAGGGAGACCACAGGTGGAGGTGGCAACCGGTGGAGGACGGATTGAAGTCTGGGGCGCTGGGCTGAAACGACTGGAGGTGTGTTTGTGTGTGGGTGGGTGCATATGTATGTGCTGTGAGGGTGAGGGGGTGTAATGCGGGATGGACAAGGAAGGACAAGGCCAGAGAGAGTTCCTTGCAAGGAGGCCGCAGGTGAAGGTAGCTACTGCAGGGCGGATTGGAGCCTGGCTGGGAACCTGGGCTGAAACCACTGTAAGTGAGCGCGGCTGTGCTGGTGGTTACCACCGTCCTGCAGTGCTGTGCTGTTCTCATACAACTCCCTCCCTTGCTTTCGACCAGCCACAACCAGTGATGGCAGGACTGGGCGTCAGCGCCTTTTGGTTGACTCCCTACCCACTGTGCTGTTCTTGTGATGAGTTCCCCCCCTAGTTTTAGTCACATAACCCCCTGCCTCCAATCAACCACTGCCCATGGCAGGACGCGGATGTCAGTGCGTGTGATGACAATAGAGCCACAGTCCATGGCCCTGCCCATGTATTCCAATGATGAAGAGGTGTGATGCTGTTATCTTTAACCACCTGTTGTCAACCACAACCACTGCCCATGGCAGGACGCGGATGTCAGCGCGGCTGTGATGACGATCGAACCCGAGTCCATGGCTCTTCCCATGTATTCCAATGATGAGGAGGTATGTTGGCAACCTTTACCGTTCCGAGGAGGTATGTTGGCAGCCTTTGCCGTTCCAAGTTTTGCCCATGTTCTGCCCATTCGTGAGTCACTCACAAGCACAGCCAAATTCTATGGCTCTTCGCATGTACTCCAGGCATATCATGCATGACATACCAAGTTGCACATGCATACATACCATGCATGACATACCAAGACCAAGTTGCACATGCATACATACCATGCATGACATACCAAGACCAAGTTGCACATGCATACATACCATGCATGACATACCAAGTTGCACATGCATACATACCATGCATGACATACCAAGTTGCACATGCATACATACCATGCATGACATACCAAGTTGCACATGCATACATACCATGCATGACATACCAAGTTGCACATGCATACATACCATGCATGACATACCAAGTTGCACATGCATACATACCATGCATGACATACCAAGTTGCACATGCATACATACCATGCATGGCATACCAAGTTGCACATGCATACATACCATGCATGACATACCAAGTTGCACATGCATACATACCATGCATGACATACCAAGTTGCACATGCATACATACCATGCATGACATACCAAGTTGCACATGCATACATACCATGCATGACATACCAAGTTGCACATGCATACATACCATGCATGACATACCAAGTTGCACATGCATACATACCATGCATGACATACCAAGTTGCACATGCATACATACCATGCATGACATACCAAGTTGCACATGCATACATACCATGCATGACATACCAAGTTGCACATGCATACATACCATGCATGACATACCAAGTTGCACATGCATACATACCATGCATGTTTAACATTGGTTACCGTGCACGGTATTTCCTGCTTTCCATGCATGAAGTTTAGTTTCCGTGCATGCCCATTTCTCTGCAACAGGTGTCCTATGTGGTGGAGGGCGAAGCTCGGGCAGGGCTTATCAGCCCGGAGGGGATTCGCACCAATGTGAGGTGCGTGAGCAGATGTGGTGTGGTGTGATGTGCGCTGATGTGTACTGTGCTGTGACGTGACGTGATGTCCTACATGTGATGAAAAAATGAAGTACATGATACCACATTCTACTGTTTTGTACTTTCCTTTCTTATACATATGTCTGTGTACCCTTTACAGGAGGCTTCGCAAAGGTGATGCATTTGCGTTCCCACGAGGCTGGGGCAGGTGGATCTGGAACGATGGCAAGGAGCCTCTGCGAATCATATCCATTGCTGGTATGCTGACGTGTCTTTTCTATGTGCTGACATGTCGTGACTGATTTGCTGACCTGCGTTGAACTGCTGACCTGTCTTTTTGAAAACTTCATTGTGAATATCGACTGTACCTGCCAATCTAACCCCCCTACATGCCAGATACGTCCAAGGAGGCCCACCGTGGGCGGTACACGGCGTTCAGCCTGGTGGGCGCTCAGAAGGAGAAGTTTGGCGGCATTCTCCATGGCTTCAGGTGCGCTCAGGTGGATTTCAGGTGCGCTCAGGTAAATTCAGGTAGGCTCAGGTAGATGTCAGGTGGTAGGAAGAAGACATGACATAGCTGCTGCTTTCCTTCATCCTCCACTGCTCGTTCTCCCTCCTCTTCCCTTTTGCCTCCCCACCGCACAGTCACCGAGTGCTGGCGAAGGCATGGGGCGTGGAGGAAGCAGACGTGGCACAGCTGCTTCAGGGGCAGAAGGATGTAGCCATTGCGAAGGTCGACCCGGGGAAGGTCGTATCTGGTGATCCTGATGCTGATGAAGGCACCTCAGCTGCGTCTGCCACTGATAACTCAGAAGGCACTGTAGCGTTTGGGGATTTCGTGTACAACCTTATAGAGGAGCAGGCTAGTATCGAGACGCCCGGGGGCGGCACGTTGACTACTGCTGATGGATTTAAGCTGCCTGTGTTTCAACACCTGGGCGTTTCTGCTGCTCGCATAGATCTCCTGGTGAGTAATGGAGGGTATGAAAGGAGGGGGAAAGAGAGACAGTTCATGCTGTGTCTGAAGGGTTAGTATGTGGCAATGCTTTCTTTTCTAAAAATTCCACTTGTTTTTCCCCATAATTGTTTGATTGATAACAACTTCCTTCCCTTGTTTCCCCCCTCCCTCCCTCCTCCTTCCCTCAGCCCAATGCGATGGCGGCTCCTCATTGGCTGTCCAACTCAGCAGCCGTCCACTTTGTGACACGTGGCAGTGGGCGGTTTGAGATAGCCTATCCGGACGGCAGGAAGGCGCTGAGGAAGCGTGTGAACGCGGGAGATGTGGTGGTTGTACCGGCTGCTTTCGCTCATGCTGTTGTGAGTAACGCAGTGACGGTAAGATGGGAACGCTTTTGTCGTGTGAGGAGTAGTGGCAGTGAGAGATGTGTCGTTGTTTCCGCCCATGTTGTTGTGAGTAACGCGTTGGCAGAGTCACACATCACCCTAACATGCCTCCACCCTGCTTTCGTTTTGAGTCGACTCAAAACTGTTTTCGCTCATATTGTTATGTGTTGAAAGAGTAACACATCACCCTAGCATGCCTCCACCCTTCTTCCCCCCTCTTCATCCCGCCTCCCACTCCTTTTCTGCTCTGTCCTCCCATAACAGGAAGCTTCAGGGGAGGGCTTAGAGTACGTCGCTCTCTCCCCCAAGTCCAAACCCAAGCCTGGTTTTCTAGCTGGCGGAAACTCAGTCTACAGTGCACTGCCTACCGCTGTACTGAAGGCTGCTTTTAACGTGGATGAAGCTTTGGCGGAGAAGCTGCGGGGCACTAGGGAGGGGGAGTATGTGATCCTGTCCCCTGGAAAGGGGAAGGGGGATGGTGGGGCTTGAGTTGGTCCTGGGTCTCAGGCCCAGGGTCTCAGGGCCGTAGGGGGAGGGAGTGTAGAATGTGTGGACTGTAATGGAGTGGGGTGGATTGTAATGGAGTGGAGGGGGGGGCGAGATGGAGTAGAGTGGATTTGTATGTACGGTACCGTACCTACCCTGTTCAGACAGAAATTGTACAAGCTGGGCAATGCAATGTACATAACTCCTTTTTGCTCTACATAAAAACCAAGACATTGTACAAGCTCGCGGTGTACAGTAAATAACTCTTTTTTTGCTCTACATAGAAATTGGTAGGGAAGCAATTATGCCACCCTGGGTACGAAACTGGAGCTGGGAGGAAGCTTGCTGTTACACTTGCGGCAGTGTTGCGTGCAAGTACTATGTCCCACACCACTTTAGGCATTTACCTGTACACCTTATATCCTAAGCAACTCAATAACTGTAATCTTACAGTACATCCAGAGCTTCTAGAGACACTTTCCACCTTTCTTTCCTTTACCACCGCTGCTACCACCCACTGTTTCCACTCTATCTGTGCCACTAGCCGCTGCTCGGGAGGCAATGTCCTGCTCGAAGATGCGAGGCACGACGGTGGGCAGCAGGAAGCAGAAGATGTTGTACGCCCACAGCAGGTAGTTCACCGCTGAGTAGAGGAGGGGGGACGGGGAGAAGGGTGGGGGGAGGGGTTTGGAGAGAGGGAAACACAAGCAGGACACACAGATAGGTGCGAGGCACGACGGTGGGCAGCAGGAAGCAGATATGTTGTATGCCCACAGAAGGTAGTTCACCGCTGAGTGGGGAAAGGAGGGGAGGCGAGGAGAGGGTGTGGTGTGGGGAGGGGTTGAGGGTGTGGGGAGGGGTTGAGGGTGTGGGGCATAGGGCTCATTGAGGCAGTAGGCACGACGGCGGGCAGCAGGAAGCAGAGCACGTTGTGGGCCCACAAGAGGTAATTCACCGCTGGGGTGAGAATGGGGGGTTGGGGGACGGGAGCAGGGTGGTGGGTGCGGAGGGGTGGGGGAGGGGTTTGGAGAGAGAAAGAGACACAAGAAGGACACGCAGATAGGTGTGAGGCACGACGACAGGCAAGCAGGAAGCAGAGCACGTACGCCCACCCCACAGAAATTTGAGTTTTGAGTCGACTCAAAAGCCGTGTGTGATAAGTCGAGTTTTGAGTCGACTCAAAACTCGACTTATCACACACAGCAGGGCAAGCAGGCAGCAGAGCACGTACGCCCACCCACCCCACAGAAATTTGTTCACAGCTGCCTGCACAAGAGGGCATGGGTGAAGAGGGTATGTGGTCAGAGAGGCAGGGCTTGTAGGCACGACGCAACAGCTGCCCGCCCTTGCTGTGCTTGCTCCCAGCACCAGAAACGAACCAGTCACACCCTTCTCACCGCCACAGTTAACGCACCTGCACACGCTACCAGCGTCCCCAGCCACACCAGGCGCCACACACTGCCACTGCCCGCCCTCGCAGTGCTTGCTCCCAGTTCCATAAACACACAAGTGAACACCCATCGGAGCACAGGCAACGCACCTGCACACGCTACCAGCGCTCCCAGCCACACCAGGCGCCACACGCTGCCACTGCCCACCCTTGCAGTGCTTGAAAGGATGAGAGGGAGCACAGCAGCAGCGGAATGAGTGAGCCACTTGTAGAGAGAGAACATGCGCCGGGCGTTGTAGAGGGGAGGGACGAGAGCTCTGCAGGCGGAATATGTTGGGGGTTGGATATGGGAAGGAGAAGGGGGTAAGGGAGAAGAGAAAGTGAGTGAAGGCAGCAGCAGAGTGCGTGAGCCACTTGTAGAGAGAGAACGTGCGCTGGGCATTGTAGAGCGGGGGAACAAGAGCTCTTGCCAAAGAGAGAGAGGGGGCAGGGAGAGAGAGAGGAGGTGGCGAGAGACGGGAAAGGGAAAAGAGGAGGAAGGGTGAGACACTTGTAAAGTGAGAGCATGCGCCGAGCATTAGAGAGAGGGGATGTGAGGATGGGTAAGAGGAAAGATGAGTGATTGGGGAAGAGTGCTGTGGTGGGAACAATTGTGAAGGCAGGAAACAAGAGGGAAACTGTGGGCCTGAAGGACAGAAGCAGGAAGGGAGGGAGCTTGGGCGAGCTGCTTGCATCAAGTGGCTCAAACACTCTGCAGCATCAAGTGGCTCAAACACTCTGCAGCATCAAGTGGCTCAAACACTCTGCAGCATCAAGTGGCTCAAACACTCTGCAGCATCAAGTGGCTCAAACACTCTGCAGCATCAAGTGGCTCAAACACTCTGCAGCATCAAGTGGCTCAAACACTCTGCAGCATCAAGTGGCTCAAACACTCTGCAGCATCAAGTGGCTCAAACACTCTGCAGCATCAAGTGGCTCAAACACTCTGCAGCATCAAGTGGCTCAAACACTCTGCAGCATCAAGTGGCTCAAACACTCTGCAGCATCAAGTGGCTCAAACACTCTGCAGCATCAAGTGGCTCAAACACTCTGCAGCATCAAGTGGCTCAAACACTCTGCAGCATCAAGTGGCTCAAACACTCTGCAGCATCAAGTGGCTCAAACACTCTGCAGCATCAAGTGGCTGAAACACTCTGCAGCATCAAGTGGCTCAAACACTCTGCAGCATCAAGTGGCTCAAACACTCTGCAGCATCAAGTGGCTCAAACACTCTGCAGCATCAAGTGGCTGAAACACTCTGCAGCATCAAGTGGCTCAAACACTCTGCAGCATCAAGTGGCTCAAACACTCTGCAGCATCAAGTGGCTCAAACACTCTGCAGCATCAAGTGGCTCAAACACTCTGCAGCATCAAGTGGCTCAAACACTCTGCAGCATCAAGTGGCTCAAACACTCTGCAGCATCAAGTGGCTCAAACACTCTGCAGCATCAAGTGGCTCAAACACTCTGCAGCATCAAGTGGCTCAAACACTCTGCAGCATCAAGTGGCTCAAACACTCTGCAGCATCAAGTGGCTCAAACACTCTGCAGCATCAAGTGGCTCAAACACTCTGCAGCATCAAGTGGCTCAAACACTCTGCAGCATCAAGTGGCTCAAACACTCTGCAGCATCAAGTGGCTCAAACACTCTGCAGCATCAAGTGGCTCAAACACTCTGCAGCATCAAGTGGCTCAAACACTCTGCAGCATCAAGTGGCTCAAACACTCTGCAGCATCAAGTGGCTCAAACACTCTGCAGCATCAAGTGGCTCAAACACTCTGCAGCATCAAGTGGCTCAAACACTCTGCAGCATCAAGTGGCTCAAACACTCTGCAGCATCAAGTGGCTCAAACACTCTGCAGCATCAAGTGGCTCAAACACTCTGCAGCATCAAGTGGCTCAAACACTCTGCAGCATCAAGTGGCTCAAACACTCTGCAGCATCAAGTGGCTCAAACACTCTGCAGCATCAAGTGGCTCAAACACTCTGCAGCATCAAGTGGCTCAAACACTCTGCAGCATCAAGTGGCTCAAACACTCTGCAGCATCAAGTGGCTCAAACACTCTGCAGCATCAAGTGGCTCAAACACTCTGCAGCATCAAGTGGCTCAAACACTCTGCAGCATCAAGTGGCTCAAACACTCTGCAGCATCAAGTGGCTCAAACACTCTGCAGCATCAAGTGGCTCAAACACTCTGCAGCATCAAGTGGCTCAAACACTCTGCAGCATCAAGTGGCTCAAACACTCTGCAGCATCAAGTGGCTCAAACACTCTGCAGCATCAAGTGGCTCAAACACTCTGCAGCATCAAGTGGCTCAAACACTCTGCAGCATCAAGTGGCTCAAACACTCTGCAGCATCAAGTGGCTCAAACACTCTGCAGCATCAAGTGGCTCAAACACTCTGCAGCATCAAGTGGCTCAAACACTCTGCAGCATCAAGTGGCTCAAACACTCTGCAGCATCAAGTGGCTCAAACACTCTGCAGCATCAAGTGGCTCAAACACTCTGCAGCATCAAGTGGCTCAAACACTCTGCAGCATCAAGTGGCTCAAACACTCTGCAGCATCAAGTGGCTCAAACACTCTGCAGCATCAAGTGGCTCAAACACTCTGCAGCATCAAGTGGCTCAAACACTCTGCAGCATCAAGTGGCTCAAACACTCTGCAGCATCAAGTGGCTCAAACACTCTGCAGCATCAAGTGGCTCAAACACTCTGCAGCATCAAGTGGCTCAAACACTCTGCAGCATCAAGTGGCTCAAACACTCTGCAGCATCAAGTGGCTCAAACACTCTGCAGCATCAAGTGGCTCAAACACTCTGCAGCATCAAGTGGCTCAAACACTCTGCAGCATCAAGTGGCTGAAACACTCTGCAGCATCAAGTGGCTCAAACACTCTGCAGCATCAAGTGGCTCAAACACTCTGCAGCATCAAGTGGCTCAAACACTCTGCAGCATCAAGTGGCTCAAACACTCTGCAGCATCAAGTGGCTCAAACACTCTGCAGCATCAAGTGGCTCAAACACTCTGCAGCATCAAGTGGCTCAAACACTCTGCAGCATCAAGTGGCTCAAACACTCTGCAGCATCAAGTGGCTCAAACACTCTGCAGCATCAAGTGGCTCAAACACTCTGCAGCATCAAGTGGCTGAAACACTCTGCAGCATCAAGTGGCTCAAACACTCTGCAGCATCAAGTGGCTCAAACACTCTGCAGCATCAAGTGGCTCAAACACTCTGCAGCATCAAGTGGCTCAAACACTCTGCAGCATCAAGTGGCTCAAACACTCTGCAGCATCAAGTGGCTCAAACACTCTGCAGCATCAAGTGGCTCAAACACTCTGCAGCATCAAGTGGCTCAAACACTCTGCAGCATCAAGTGGCTCAAACACTCTGCAGCATCAAGTGGCTCAAACACTCTGCAGCATCAAGTGGCTCAAACACTCTGCAGCATCAAGTGGCTGAAACACTCTGCAGCATCAAGTGGCTCAAACACTCTGCAGCATCAAGTGGCTCAAACACTCTGCAGCATCAAGTGGCTCAAACACTCTGCAGCATCAAGTGGCTCAAACACTCTGCAGCATCAAGTGGCTCAAACACTCTGCAGCATCAAGTGGCTGAAACACTCTGCAGCATCAAGTGGCTCAAACACTCTGCAGCATCAAGTGGCTCAAACACTCTGCAGCATCAAGTGGCTCAAACACTCTGCAGCATCAAGTGGCTCAAACACTCTGCAGCATCAAGTGGCTGAAACACTCTGCAGCATCAAGTGGCTCAAACACTCTGCAGCATCAAGTGGCTCAAACACTCTGCAGCATCAAGTGGCTCAAACACTCTGCAGCATCAAGTGGCTCAAACACTCTGCAGCATCAAGTGGCTCAAACACTCTGCAGCATCAAGTGGCTCAAACACTCTGCAGCATCAAGTGGCTCAAACACTCTGCAGCATCAAGTGGCTCAAACACTCTGCAGCATCAAGTGGCTCAAACACTCTGCAGCATCAAGTGGCTCAAACACTCTGCAGCATCAAGTGGCTCAAACACTCTGCAGCATCAAGTGGCTCAAACACTCTGCAGCATCAAGTGGCTCAAACACTCTGCAGCATCAAGTGGCTCAAACACTCTGCAGCATCAAGTGGCTCAAACACTCTGCAGCATCAAGTGGCTCAAACACTCTGCAGCATCAAGTGGCTCAAACACTCTGCAGCATCAAGTGGCTGAAACACTCTGCAGCTTCAAGTGGCTCAAACACTCTGCAGCATCAAGTGGCTCAAACACTCTGCAGCATCAAGTGGCTCAAACACTCTGCAGCATCAAGTGGCTCAAACACTCTGCAGCATCAAGTGGCTGAAACACTCTGCAGCTTCAAGTGGCTCAAACACTCTGCAGCATCAAGTGGCTCAAACACTCTGCAGCATCAAGTGGCTCAAACACTCTGCAGCATCAAGTGGCTCAAACACTCTGCAGCATCAAGTGGCTCAAACACTCTGCAGCATCAAGTGGCTCAAACACCTGGATGACGAGCAGCAGCATATCAGGGAGGACGAGGGAGAGAGCCCAGGTGAATTCGGGGATGGCCTTGTGGAGGAAGAACTTGAATGTTCTAGACAACTGCAGACATACCCACACACGCGCACACAGCCTCACACAGGCAGGCAGACACAGACAGATACGCACCTGGATGACGAGTAGCAGCATGTCAGGGAGGACGAGGGAGAGAGCCCAGGTGAATTCGGGGATGGCCTAGCGGAGGAAGAACTTGAATGTTCTAGACAACTGCAGACATACCCACACACGCGCACACAGCCTGACACAGGCAGGCAGACACAGACAGATACGCACCTGGATGACGAGTAGCAGCATGTCAGGGAGGACGAGGGAGAGAGCCCACGTGAAATCAGGGATGGCCTGGCAGAGGAAGTACCCCACACAACCGCACACAGCCTCACACAACCTCACTCACACAGGCAGACACGCACCTGGATGACGAGCAGCAGCATGTCAGGGAGGACGAGGGAGAGAGCCCAGGTGAATTCGGGGATGCTCTTTCGCAGGTAGTAACCGGATGCTATTAGGGCGAGCGGCCACAGCACTCCCATCACTCCTGCGAAATTAATGTATCTGGGAGCAATGGGAGACAGTAAAAGACTGTTCATGAGGCGCTGCAGAGGTGGCAACCGGATGCTATCAGGGCGAGCGGCCAGAGCACTCCCATCACCCCTGCGAAATTGATGTACCTGGAACGAAGGGGAATCAGTATAAGAATGTTCCTCAGGCGCCTTGGAAAAGAAAGAACCCGGGTCCCTTTAATGTCGTGGGTGATGATTCATTATCGGGGACAGTTTGCTTAGCATGACAGTCTGGCTTTTGAGAGGTCTCTTATAGTGGGGATAGTAGGCGAGACAAGCTACGGACCTTCTCATTTGCGGAGACATTTTGCCCAGCATGAGCGGCTGATGCGGGGGGCATGGGAAGACGAACGAGATCGCGAACGCGTAGAGCGTCGCGAAGACGGCGAAGCCTGCGACGTCGAAAAGCGACTCGGCGAGTTGCTGCGATGGCAGCGAGAGCGAGGAGGGGGTGAAGAGCGACGGCCAGAGCTCCTGAAGCGGGTGGAAATGCGGCGGGAGTGGAAGCATGTCGCCGCCTGCCATGGCGATGGAAGTGCGGGATTCTTGTGACAGGATTCTAGGCTTGCGAAACAGTTAGAACAAGTACGAGAGTAGGTGTGATGCGTATTACGCCTGATGGACGGACATGGATGGATGGACAGAGATTTGTGCTGGAGATTTGAGTCGACTCAAAACTCACCTCGAAAGATTTGTGCTGGAGAAATTTGCCCCAACATTATACTGAGAGAAGGTGGAGTTCAGAACAGTTGAAAACAATCTCGTTACGATTTGCTACGATTCTGGACCCTTTTCTCTGGTGCTGTCATCCGTCCCTTCGGGAGATATTTTGAGAGTGTTACCAACATTTTTTCTCTTGTCCACTACAGTCCCACTTTTTCCCGTGGCGAATCTGGCGAGGCAGGCGAAAAGCTTGTGCTCGCTTCATACGCTTTGGAGGCTAAGTTTGCGTGCATCTACGTAATAAGCTTCAGGTGTAAGTACAGTACAGAACATGAATCGTGTATCTGTGCTGTACATCAATGATAAGTGTTCAACCCACATCGATTCTGCCGCCAACCTTACGCAGCCAAACCTTGTAACTGCAGTCCGAGTGTAGAAAACACATTTTCGCAAGGTACCCTACCCAACCATTCGAAGTACTGATTAGGCCGTTACAGATCGTACCAAGCCTCATTTAGCCGCATTTTGACGTACTGTACTCACGGAACCTGTCCTGACAATTCTGAGCACGTCCGAGATTTCAGTGGGCCTCTCTGACACACCACTTCACCACCACTCGTTCAAGTCTAGAACCGACGACAAATCGTTTCATGGCAGGCTTTGGGAATGCCGTCACAGTATCAGCGTTGTAATCATCAGAGAAGAGCAGAGACGAGCAGAGAACAACAGAGCAGAGAACAGAGCAGAGCAAAGTTGATTTGAGTTAGTCGATTAGTTTTCAAGACAGGGGCAGCCTTGGGAATTTCAACTGTTCATATCTGAGGATCATCACCTCTGCTCTGACGCTCCTACGTCTTGACTGATTTACCTCAGCCGCTGCAGTTGGATTAACGACTTCAGTATTTGCCTCATCGTCAGCCGCGCCACGGCGACCAGTCCAGAATCCCGCGAGTACGTCGCGACTCAAGAAGTGCGTGCTTTTTAACGGAGGCCTCCTGAGGCACGACCCAGCATCGTCATAATGGCGAACTTCGCCGCTCATTCGCCTTTCCACTCGCCGCCTGAATCGCCGTTTTTTCCGCGCGTCGACGGCGTGACGCTTCTCCGTCGTTTTCTTAGAGAGAGCAGCCGACTGCTGGGGGAAAGCGGGGGAAATGGAGGCGAAAGTTCAGGAACAAACCCAAGCTCTAGCAGCGAGTCGAGCGTAGATCTGTCCTCGTCCATGCTGTACACTCCGACCTTCTTTACTGCTACTGTGGCGGCGATTATTATCGTCGTGTCGCTGCTTTTTGAACGGCTTATTTATCTCATTCACAGAGTGAGTGGTTCAGTGCGGTAAAATGCGGCGTATGGTTGAGTGCATATCTTCTGCATATCTTCTGGTTTGACAGTGGGAAGTAAAGTTTTGAGCAGCGTGTTTCATGTGCATCAGCGAATTCACACTCGTACGCATCAGCATTGCGTTTCTTTATAAAGGGTATACTGACTGCCATGCCACATGGCCTCATTACATGTCATATGCCGTGTTCCTCGTGCCATGCACCCTTGCATAGCTCCGTACCATGCCATGCACCATCCTTCTTTTCCATACCATGCCATACACCTTTGCTCTCTTGCGTGCCATGCACCTTCTTTTATTTTGCTCCCTGCCATGCCATGCGCCTTTCTTCTGTTCCATGACACGTGCTCTTACATCTCTTCCTGATGCACATGCCCGTTGTGTGTCTCTGCAGTTCTTGGTTCGGAAGAAGCGAGCGGCTCTCGTGACGGTGGGGCACCGCATTAAAGATGGTGAGGAGTAGGCCGACAAGGTGTTTCTTTCAGTCAAAGGCCAGGGTGTCATTGTCGCTTCGGAATTATCAGGTGACTCAAAAGCAGCTCTTGTGGGGGTGGTGCGCAGCATAAAAGACGGTGAGGAGCCGTGCAGACAAGGGTGTCTTTTGAATCAGAATTCAGCTCTGCATTTCTCTTGTCGAACCCCCCCCAGTCGAACCCATTCAACCCCCTCTTCCCCATCTCCTCTCTCTCACCCCATCCCTTTCAACCCCTATCATTCAACCCCAACCATCAACCATGCAGAGCTGATGCTGGTGGGATTCATCTCCATCGTGCTGGAGCTCATCGACCCGCTCATAGTAGAACCCTTTCAACCTCCTCCCCAACCCCCCCCATTCACATCCCTTTGAACCCCTGCCATTCGCCTCCAACCGTGCAGAGCTGATGCTGGTTGGATTCATCTCCATCGTGCTGGCTCGCATCGACCCACTCATAGTCCGACTCATTCACACTCCCATCTTTCACCCCATCTGTGTACCCCCGCCTGGCTCATCCAGAGCTGATGCTGGTGGGATTCATCTCCATTGTGCTGGCTCTCATCGACCCGCTCATAGTCCAATGGTGCATCACCATCCCCCGCTCCACCATCTTCATCCCATGCAAACCCCCATCCTCCTCCTCTGCGTCTGCGCCGCCCGCCTCCGAGTCTGCACCGCCCGCTTCCGAGTCTGCACCAGCCGGCAATACTGCACACCTAGGACTGTCTGATGGGCGGCAGCTGCTGTCCGGGCGGCGCGGATTCGATGATGGTTACCACCATGGTGGTTACCACCACAGTGGTTATCATGAGATGAGCAGGAGGGTGTTGTCCAGCTCAGAGAACACATGCCCATCGGTAAATTGTCATTCCATTCCATTCCACTCCACCCGTGAATCATGCCAATCCTTTCATGAGTCATGCCATGCCACCCCATGCGTCATGCCATGCTACCCCATGCACCATCCCATGAGTCATGCAATGAGTCATGACATCCCATGAGTCATGCAATGAGTCATGACATCCCATGAGTCATGCAATGAGTCATGACATCCCATGAGTCATGCAATGAGTCATGACATCCCATGAGTCATGCAATGAGTCATGACATCCCATGAGTCATGCAATGAGTCATGACATCCCATGAGTCATGCAATGAGTCATGACATCCCATGAGTCCTGCATGTTCCCCCAACCTTGTCCCACCAGGGCTAGGAGCTCTTCAGATTGCCAGCAGGCGTGCACCAGGTGCATCTCTTCATCTTCTCTCGCGCCCCGAGCCATCGCATGCGTTCCTTGTCCCCCATTCCCCCAACCCCCGCCCCCACTTCCCCTTCACCCTTGTCCCCATCAGGGTCAAGAGCCCTTCATGTCGCCATCGGGAGTGCACCAACTGCATCTCTTCATCTTCTTCCTCGCCCTGGGCCACATCCTCTACTCGTGCATCACCATCATAATTGCCCACCGACGGGTTAGTGCTTTAGTCGACTCATCAGTCAAGGGGTTGATATGAATTAACAAAAAACAAACCTCTTCATCGTCTTCCACATGCACCACCATTAACATTCAAACAATTCATATGTATCCGCTCCACTCTCTCTTGCCCTCCCCCCTTCCCTACTTCCCGTCAACCACTTTTATTGAGTTAGGGAATGTTTTTGAGTGAATCGTTGTTATGAATCACATGTTTATCTAACTACATTGCAGCATTCTTTCAGGTGATGCGCTGGAAAAGCTGGGAGGCGGAGGCACTCAAAAAGTCACTTGAGATGGAAACCGTGCCTGTTTCAGGTATGGGTATCAGGTATGGGTGTCAGGTATGGGTGTCAGGTACGGGTGTCAGGTACGGGTGTCAGGTACAGGTGTCAGGTACGGGTGTCAGGTGCGAGTATCAACTCGGCCTTCCAGCACCAACACGGCATTTCTTTCACCCTTCTTCTTCGCCCTCATCCCCCTCCCCACCACCCCCCTCATGCACGCACTCCAGGCCAGCTGGCCCTCGCCCTGCAGGACTCTGCCTTTCAGCACCGCCATGGCACTTCTCTTACTTCTCTTGATGCATCCTCTTCCCTCATCCTCGTACCCCCTCTCCTCCCTCCATGCACACACTCCAGGCCAGCTGGCCCTCGCCCTGCAGGACTCTGCCTTTCAGCACCGCCAAGGTGCGGCTTTCACAGCATCCTCACGCCCCATCCCCAAATCCCCTCTCCTCCCTTCCGCCCTCCATGGCAGGTCAACTGACCCTTGCCCTGCAGGACTCGGCCTTCCAGCACCGCCACGGCGCGGATTTCAAAGCGTCCTCACGCCGTGTCTCCCACTCGCACACATTCTCCGGTCCCATCTTCCACTCCACCCGCCTCTTCCGCTCGGGCCCCCTCACCTCCTCCACCACCCCCTCCATCGCCCAGCGCTCCCGAAGCATCTCCCACCACAGCAGTGGCTGCTCCCTTCTCTCACTGCTTCCCTTCCCCCGTATCCCCCCATGCGCGCACTCCAGGTCAACTGACCCTCGCACTACAGGACTCGGCCTTTCAGCACCGCCACGGAGCGGATTTCAATGCGTCCTCACGCCGTGTGTCCCACTCGCACACATTCTCCAGTCCCATCTTCCACTCCACCCGCCTCTTCCGCTCGGGCCCCCTCACTCCCTCCACCAACCCCTCCATCGCCCAGCGTTCTCAAAGCATTTCACACCATGGCAGCGGCGCCTCCTCCTTCCTCTCCCGCCTCCCGTCCTTCTCCTCCTCCTTCCGCCTCCCACATTCTGCCCCATTCCCTGCACGAGACTCCTCGTCTGGGCGATTGAACCAGTCACCAGAGCCCTGGGACGGCGACCATGCGTCATCGCACTTAACACAAAGGCATGTCAAACAAGCACACTCAAAGGAAAAGAACTCAGAGGAGCAGACCGGGCAGTCTTGGAGAAAAGGCCTACCGGAGCACCTGAACCAGTCGTTGCCGCGGCCCTTGGGTTTCGAAACGTCTCAAACAACCCTCGCATCTGTGTGTGAATCCCCGGAGCACGCATCCGGATCAGACTCGCACTGCAACAAACCCTCAACTGCTCGTTTCCCGACGTACCCCAGCCAAACCCACGAGCTGCCAACCCCCGCCTCCTCCTCCTCGCCCCCCCCCCGCTCCTCCTCCTCCTCGCTCTTTCCGTTCCTAGGCAGCTGGCACCCCACGGCCTACGTTCATATGACTAAGGAAACACCGCCCTCCCCGGTTCTGGATAAGACTGAAGGGGGGCGTGGGGGAGGAGGAAAAAAAGTTGAAGGAGCTTCTGCTGCTGCCAGTTATGGTGGTGGTGGTGGGGGCAATTCTTGCCCTTCCCCTGCGTCTGCTGCTGCTGCTACTGCTGCAGTGTATGGTTCTGTTACCCATTCTACTTCTTCCGTTTTTGCTGCTGCGTCTGCGGCAGGTCCTGCCGAGTCTGTTTCTGCGTCTGTCGAGTCCCCTGCTGCTGCAGCTGCAGGAGCACAGAAGGAGGTATTGATAAAGAAACGGGAGGTGCACTTCACTCCGAGCACCAAGGGGGGCAGCAGGAGCAATAGAGATGGTAGCAGCTGTGGTGATTGTGAGGGTGGCGTTAGTAGTAGTGAGGGTTATGGTGGTGAGGATGAAGAGAGTGAGGGTGAAGGGAGTGAGGGTAATGAGAGTGAGGGTGATGAAGGTGCATTCGAGCTTGATGAGTATGATGAGGTGGTTGCATGGGCAGATGGAATGGTTGAAAGCGGTGGGGAGGCTGGGGAGGATGATGGGATGGAATGGGAGGGCGAGGGAATCGCAGAGGAGGAGAGAGGGAAGGTGAGGAGAGAGGGAGGTGATAAGGGAACGGGAGAAAACAGGCAGTTGGGTAGGAAGACCGTGGGAGGAGGAGCGGGAGATGGAGGAGAGGGAGGAGGTGGAGGAGGTGGAGGAAGGGGAGGAGGAGGGGGAGGGAGCGGAGTGAAAGGAGGGGCAGGGGAGGGGGAGGTTGGGGGTGGAGACAAGGAGGGGGAAGGAGAAGTTGGAGAGGAGGTGGAAGGTGGGGAGGGGGAGGAGGGCACAGCGCGTGTGGATGCGAGTGGGCATCTGTCTGCTTGGCACTCCTTCCTCCTCACCTATGTAAGACTGCACCGCACCACACTGTACCGCACTGCACCACACCATACCACGCCACACCACACCACACCACACGACACGACACGACACCACACCACACCACACCACACCACACCACACCACACCACACCACACCACCACACTCCACCACAGCACCACATTGCACCACCCACCACAGCACCACACCACTCCACACCACTCCACATCACTGCACTGCAGCACTGCACTGCAGCACTGCACCGCAGCACTGCACCACCACACTGCACCACCGCACCGCACCACCGCACTGCACCACCGCACCGCACCACCACACTGCACCACCGCACCGCACCACCGCACTACACCACCGCATCGCTCCACCACACCATTCCACACCTAACCATGCCATACCACAGCAAACAACACCACACCATACCACCACGCCACACCGCACCACACCGCACTGCTACATATAAGCACCGTGCAGTCGGCCCTTGTCCTGTACCATGTGTGGCAGTCGACCCTCTCTGTTCTGCCCCATTGTCCTCCCTGCTCTCCTGCTCTCCAGCTCTCCTGCTCTCCCGCTCTCCTGCTCCCTCACCACCCAACACCAAAAAACCACGACACAGCAGATACTGGCACCAATCTCATCAATCAAACCCTAAACCCCATTCTTGATTGCTCCCCTGCTCGCACCAGAAAGCAGTGACCCAGCAGATACTGTCGCCCATCACACAGCTCGACTACACCACGCTGCGCCTTGCCTTTATCCATGTGAGAAGCACTAAAACCCGAGCCCTAAACCCAAAAGTCTGAAAGCCCAACCCACCGCACACCAGAAAGCAGCCACCCAGCAGATGCTGTCGCCCATCACGCAGCTCGACTACACCACGCTACGCCTCGCATTCATCTACGTGAGAAGCACTCATCCTGAATCCCTGATCTCAAAATCCGAGATCTGAAACTCCCTGTTTCTGTGGGGCGCTGTTTCTGTGAGGCGCTGTTTCTGTGTTGCGCCTGTGGGACGCTGTTTCTGTGAGGCGCTGTTTCTGTGTTGCGCCTGTGGGACGCTGTTTCTGTGAGGCTCTGTTTCTCCGAGTCACTGTTTAATCTGATCTGTGTCTCTTTCCCCTCCTGTGTGATGAGTCGATTTTTGAGTCGACTAAAAAATGTTTCTCTGAGTCACTGTTTATTCTGATCTGTGTCTCTTCCCCCTCCTGCCAAACCACCACCACCACCACCACCACCACCACCACCACCACCACCACCACCACCACCACCACCACCACCACCACCACCACCACCACCACCACCACCACCACCACCACCACCACCACCACCACCACCACCACCACCACCACCACCACCACCACCACCACCACCTCCACCACCACCGCCACCGCCACCACCACTTTGCAGAACCATGGCCTCCCCAGGGACTTCAACATCCATGCGTGTGTGCTGGGTTGCACTGCTGCTGTTGCACTGCAAAACATCTCTCTGTGCCTCTCCTCCCTTGTCGCTTTCCCTCACCTCCGAATCAACAACCGCCACAGCCGCCTCACAGAACCACGGCCTCCCCCGGGACTTCAAATTCCTCGCCTGTGTGCTGCACGCGATGCACTGCTGCTTCGATGCTCTGCAAAGCATATTTCTGTGCCTCTCCTCCCTTGCCCCTTTTCCTCACCTCCCAATCAACAATCACCTTTCAGAACCACGGCCTCCCCCGTGACTTCAACTTCCACGCCTGTGTGCTGCGGGCGCTGGAAAAGGACTTCATCAGCATGGTCGGCACCAAGTGAGTGCCCTTGACCCACGTTGACTTGCCTTGACTTTCCTTGAATTGTTTTGACTCGCCTAGACCTCAACTTCCACGCCTGTGTGCTGCGGGCGCTGGAAAAGGTCTTCATTAGCATGGTCGGCACCAAGTGAGTGCCCTTGACTCGCATTGATTCGCCTTTGACTCACCTTGACTTCAATCAACTTCCACGCCTGTGTGCTGCGGGCACTGGAAAAGGACTCGACTCGCCTTGACTCACCTTGACCCTCCTTGACTTTCCTTTTACTCCCCTTGACTCACCTTGACCCGCCTTGACTCGCCTTGACCCGCCTTGACCCGCCTTGACTTGCCTTGACTCACCTTGACTCGCCTTGACTCTCCGTCCTCTGTATTCTTGCAGCTGGTACATCTGGCTCTCAGTCGTGGCCATCATTCTCATCAGCAGCTACGGTAAGCCAGCAGCAGTGAGAGAGCGGGTTGGGATGGGCAGTGAGAGAGTGGGGTGGGATGGCCAGTAGGGATGAGCTTAGAGCTATGAGCATGTGTGTACATCTGGCTCTGTCGCAGTTGGTACATCTGGCTCTCAGTGGTCGCCATCATTCTCGTCAGCAGCTACGGTCAGTAACCCATAAAAGGGTGGGATGGGATGGGATGCGCAGCGAGAGGGTTGGATCGGCAGTGGCAGGGTGTGTGCATGCATGTCATTGTCGCAGTTGGTACATCTGGCTCTCAGTGGTGGCCATCATTCTCGTCAACAGCTACGGTAAGCCAGCAGCAGTGCGAGAGTGGGGTGGGGTGGGCAGTGAGAGAGAGAGATTGGGATGGGCTTAGAGCTATGGGCATGTTTGTCATTGTTGAAAGTCACGTGTAGAGAGGGTGTTTTGAGACATCTCAAAAACACCCTCTCTACACGTGGCTATGGTGTCACCGCATATGCACCTAATGCATATGCAATAACAGTAGGATGATGGTGTAAGGGGGGCTTGTAGTGGCTGTTATGGGAACATTAGCTAGTTATAAGAGTATTAGTTAGGAATCAGTTGTAGGTGTAGAACGTAGGAAAGTTACTGTTAGGGAGGGGTGTAGAAAGGGGGAAATTGGATGGGAGCGGTTGGGATTGCGAGGGAAAAGGCACCGAAGGGCGAAATAGGAAGCCAAGCAGTCCCAACCCCGAGCCGCACGTTTGGGAATGTGCAGCTTGGGGTTGGGTAAGGGCAGTCACAGCCAACCCCTCGATGCTTTCGTGCTGTTATTCTCTCATATTAGTGGAAAGCTGTTACCTCTGATCTAGCATCCGGTGGCACGCCACTAGGGGAGGACCTACGGGGTGAGGGAGGAAACTCGTTCATAACAGCACGAAAGCCCATCGAGCGGTTCGAGCAAATAGCATAGAATGGACTGCCACGAGCTGCGCTGGCAGCGGACAGACTCGCGACGGGAAATCTTGCCGTCGCGGAGGATGCGCTCACGGGAGCATGGGAGATCACTTGCGCGTTCGCCACGGAGGGCGGCGTACGGCGCGGATTTGGTGACGCCCGTCGGTGGGCGAGCTGAAGGTGTCAGGTCGGAGCCCAGGATGGGCAGTGACCCGCGGATTCTGGCAGGAGGCCAGCGCGGAACGGGTGTAAGGCATCGCGACGGTGTGGACGGGGTAGATTCGTCCGATTCGGCAAGCGAGGCTGACGGCGCAGAAGAAGCAGACGGCGCGGAAGAAGCAGACGGCGCGGAAGAAGCAGACTGCGCGGAAGAAGCAGACGGCGCGGAAGAAGCAGACGGCGCGGAAGAAGCGGACGGCGCGGAAGGAGCAGACGGCGCGGAAGAAGCAGACGGCGCGGAAGAAGCAGACGGCGCGGAAGAAGCAGACGGCGCGGAAGGAGCGGACGGCGCGGAAGGAGCAGACGGCGCCATCCCGATGGCGCGGGATGGTGAGAGGGAGGAAGTGGCGGAAGAAGGGCGCGACGGAGAGAGCAAGGATGTGGGAGGAAATTGCTCGCCGGTAAGGATGCGCGGAGGCGGCGCGAAGCGTCACGGGAACATGACGACAGGTCGTTCGCCGGAAGACATGCGCAAGGGAAGCGTGAGGCGCTGCGGGAGCACGGATGCAAACGGATTGGCAGACGAAGGGCGTGAGGAGGGCGCGAGGCACCGCGGGGGCGCGAATGCAGACGGATTGGCAGACGAAGGGCGCGGGGGCGCGGATGCAGATGGTACGGTGGACGAAATAGGTGGAAACAGCGTGAGGCACTGCGGAGGCAAGGATGCAGGTCGCTCGGCAGACGAAATGCGAGGTGGCAGCGCAAGGCGCCGCGGGAGAGCGGATGCAGACAGCTCGCCAGAACGGATGCGCGGGAGTGGCGGGAGGCGCCAAGGGAACATGGCGGCAGATCGTTCGCCAGAGGAGGTGCGCGAGGGAGATGCGAGGCGCCGCGGAACCGCAGCGGCAGGTCGCTCGCCGGACGATCTTCGGGAGGACAGCAGGAAAAACCATGCGCCAACGGGACGGTACAGCTCGCCTGAGCTGCGAGGACGGGGGAGGAGACGCGTGGCGATGGCCGCGCGGCGATCGCCAGAGGTGCGGAGGGAGCAGTATGAGCGAGGGAGACTGGCAGGTCAACGGGGGCCTGCTGTTTGGGGGAGAGAGAGAGAGAGAGAGAGAGAGAGAGAGAGAGAGAGAGAGAGGTGAGGAGCAACGTGGGCGACGGGAGAGTAAGCCAGAGGAAGAACGGGGCAGACGAGCAGGTCCGGACGGGGAGCGAGGGGATTGTGAGGAAAGAGATGGGTGGTGCTCACCAGAGAGAGGAGGGGGGCGTGAGGAGGGACGCATCAGGGAGGGTGCACGACGATCGCTGGGCGCAACAAGGGCAGAAGAAAGGGGGAGAGGGAACCGACGGCGGCGGGAAGACGTGGAGCGAGAAAGGCGGTATCAGGAGCACTCGCATGATGGGAAGGAAAGGCGGTGGGACGGAGCAGAGAAGCGGAGAGCGGCTTACGAGAGAGAGCGAGGAAGGAGTCCGAGTACAAGGGGCCCGAGGGGGCGATGGCAATCAGGAGGAGGATCCGAAGGAGCCAGAGCGGCCAGAGAGGGGACAGAACGGGCGCTGTATGGGGCAAGCTCGGGCAGCAGGGGAACAAGGAAAAGGGGTGAAGAGAAGCAGAGTAGGCGACGGGAAATGATGCTTGCGCATGAAACGGAGAGTGAGGACGAAGGAGAGTGTGACGGACCTACGCGCCACAGGTCGGGCCGAAGGGAGGGGCGTTGGAAAGAACATTCCCCGGAGAAGAGGGAGAGACCAGGGTGGGGATCGGAGAGATATGGGGAGGCTCAAGAGAGAGAAGGGGGAAGGAGCATAGGTCCGACGTGGCGGAGAAGGCGGCAGCAGTCATGGGTAGGCGCTACGGGGGCAAGGGCAGCCAGGGAAGGAAGTGGTCGAGTGCTGTATGGGACAGAGTCAAGAAGCAGAGAGTTGAGGGAGAGGAGGGGAGAGAGTAGCAGGAGGAATGAGAGCTCAGGGACTTGGGAGACAGGGAGGTGGAGTGCGCAGGCCCCACCTCAGGTGGAGGTGCCAGTGCGCTTTACGGGGGGAGCAGGGTCAGACACAAACCTGAAGAATTACCTGATGCAAATCGGTAATGTGAAGTACCGCTGCGACAGGAGTGGGATGGACCCGATAGAGTTTTTCTTGAGCCTGCCGAACACGCTGGGAGGCGAAGCTGAGACGCTATATCGTATGAAGATGAAGGAATGGCTGAGGAGGGCAGAGGAGGAGGATGAGGACCCAACCATTCTGTTCCTAGAGCGGCTGCGGAAGCAGTTTCCAGGGCACACGGCGGAGAGGGTGAGAGAATTTCAGGAATTCCAGCGAGGGAGGGCCGAGTCACCGCTCACCTACTACGGTAGGTTGACGGATCTGGCGGAAGACGTGGTGTGCACAGATGGCAGCATGCTTATAAGCAAGTTCCTGGGGGGTCTGGATGAGGGATTGAGCGGCGGGCTGAGAATGAGAGTGTATGAGTTGGGAGCTGAAGCAACGCTGGAGGAGGTGTTTGAGTTGGCAGAGAGAGTGGAGCTGGCGCAGAGGCGGTATGAGGCGTACCTGCCGAGGGTGTTAGAGAAAGGGCGGCCCAGGTGGGCTGCAGCGATGATAACCGAGGACGGGGGTGGGGAGGAGCAGTGGCAGGAGAGGCGAGCAGAAACACGGACGTGCCACAGGTGCGGGCAGGAGGGGCATATCAGGAGGGAGTGCAAGAACTGTGATGTGTGCGGAAAGCCTGGGCACCGACGGAGGGACTGCCCAGATGCACCGAGCTGTGAGGTGTGTGGGAATCGGGCAAGAAACTGCTATGAGAAAGGAAGGGATGCAAGGAGATCACCCAAGGAGATCGAGGAACAGATCGAACAGTTACGAGCCCAACTGCAGGCACTGGGAGAAAGAACTCAGGGGCAAGCGGGGTTGTACACGGAGGAGGAAGAGGGGCAGGAGCCAGAACACTCCGGTGCGGTGCTGCGTGGCCATGTAGACATGTGGCTGCGCAGTGGGGGCAGGGACATACGAAGGGAGCTAGTGAGTAAGGTGGGGGCATGGGCGTGTATGTCAGTAACACCAGCAGCAGCGGGAGCAGAGGAGCAGGACGAGCAGGCGGGGGCAGGAGCGTGCGTACCAGCAGCAGCAGGAGCGAAGGAGCGGGATGAGCAGGTGGGGGCAGAAGTGTGCGTACCAGCAGCAGCAGGAGCGAAGGAGCGGGATGAGCAGGTGGGGGCAGAAGCGTGCGTACCAGCAGCAGCAGGAGCGAAGGAGCGGGATGAGCAGGTGGGGGCAGAAGCGTGCGTACCAGCAGCAGCAGGAGCGAAGGATCGGGATGAGCAGGTGGGGGCAGAAGCGTGCGTACCAGCAGCAGCAGGAACGAAGGAGCGGGATGAGCAGGTGGGGGCAGAAGCGTGCGTACCAGCAGCAGCAGGAGCGAAGGAGCGGGATGAGCAGGTGGGGGCAGAAGCGTGCGTACCAGCAGCAGCAGGAGCGAAGGAGCGGGATGAGCAGGTGGGGGCAGAAGCGTGCGTACCAGCAGCAGCAGGAGCGAAGGAGCGGGATGAGCAGGTGGGGGCAGAAGCGTGCGTACCAGCAGCAGCAGGAGCGAAGGAGCGGGATGAGCAGGTGGGGGCAGAAGCGTGCGTGCCAGCGGCAGCGGGAGCGGAGGAGCGGGACGAGCAGGTGGGGGCAGAAGCGTGTGCATTAGCAGCGGCGGAAGAGGGAGGGAAGAACGAGAAGGTGGGGGCATGGTCGGGTGTACCAGTGGCAGCAGAAGCGGAAGGGAGGGAAGGGAAGGTGGGAGCACAGGCGGGCATGACAGCAGTAGCGGAAGCGGAAAGCGGGGCAGTGAAGGTGGGGGCACAGGCGTGCATGACATCAGTAGCGGAAGTGGAAAGCGGGGCAGTGAAGGTGGGGGCACAGGCGGGCATGACAGCAGTAGAGGAAGCGGAAAGCGGGGTAGTGAAGGTGGGGGCACAGGCGGGCATGACAGCAGTAGCGGAAGCGGAAAGCGGGGCAGTGAAGGTGGGGACACAGGCGTGCATGACAGCAGTAGCGGAAGCGGAAAGCGGGGCAGTGAAGGTGGGGGCACAGGCGTGCAAACCAGAAGTAGCAGAAGCGGCAGGGAGGGAAGAGAAGGAGAGAGCACCGGCGTGCGCAGCAGCAGCAGCGGAAACGGAAGAGGAAAGGAAAGAAGAGAAGTTGGGGGGCACAGGCGTGTGCAGTAGCAGCAGCAGAAGAGGAAGGGAAAGAAGCGAGGTTGGGGGCACAGGCGTGTGCAGTAGCAGCAGCAGAAGAGGAAGGGAAAGACGAGAAGTTGGGGGGCACAGGCGTGTGTAGTAGCAGCAGCAGAAGAGGAAGGGAAGGAGAGAAGTTGGGGCACAGGCGTGTGCAGCGGCAGCAGCAGAAGAGGAAAGGAAGGAAGAGACGTTGGGGACACAGGCGTGTGCAGCAGCAGCAGCAGAAAAGGAAGGGAAAGAAGAGAATTTGGAGACACAGGCGTGTGGAGCAGCAGCAGAAGAAGAGGAAGGGAAGGAAGAGAAAGTAGGGGCACCTGAGTGTGTAGCAGCAGCAGCGGAGGCGGGAGTGGAGGATGAGGAGGGAGGATGGGCAGGGTGGACTGCAAAGGAAGGATCTAAGTGGACGGTGGGGGGGGGGCCAATGAGCGGGCAGGGGAGGGAGGTCACACTCGTGACACAGACAGTGGGAACAGGAGGGGTGGAGAATGGCGTGGCATTGGTAGAAACCAGGGCAAGGTACCTGAAGGAAGGACTGCCGGCAGCACGGGAGAACTTACAGACAGTGCAGCTGAGAGATGCACACAGGCCAGAGGAGCGGCTGCAGCAGGGCTGCACCAAGCACAAGGGCGGCAGAAGGAGTGAGACAGGAAGTCTACCCCTCGGGGGGACAGAAGGATACTCTGGAACAGGAAGTGGTGCTGGGCACACAGAGAAGGAGGGCGACGAATCTGAGGGGGCGGGAGTGCTGTGTCAGAGAGTGGGCGAAGAGAGAAGACAGGGGACCACCAATACTGCAGTGGTGAGAAGTACCCCGGCCTCAGCAAGAGTGTCCAGTGCCTCGTGCACGGGAGACCCGAGCACGAGCTCTGGAGGGGGCATGTGGTGGCTGAGGCAGAGAAGGGAAGGTATCACGGGAACAGGGCAGAGGGAAGAAGGGAGGGAGGATGAGTGCCGGGAGGAGAGGGCAGGCCATGGGAGGAAACAGAGGAGGGGGCAGTGGTACGAGTGAGGCATCTCCAAGAGGGTCCTGTGACACGAGCTCAAGCGGCTAGAGCACGAGCACAGGAGGGGGCAGCGGTTGAGTGAGGCTTTGCAACACGGAGAAGGGAGGAAGCAGAGAGACAGCAGGAGAAGAGCAGGTGCAGGAAGAAGAGCAGGAGCAGGGAGAAGAGTAGGTGCGAGGAGCAGAGCATGGGCTGGGAGAAGGAAGGTTCTCCGACAGCTGTCACCGCATATGCACCTAATGCATATGCAATAACAGTAGGATGATGGTGTAAGGGGGGCTTGTAGTGGCTGTTATGGGAACTTTAGCTAGTTATAAGAGTATTAGTTAGGAATCAGTTGTAGGTGTAGAACGTAGGAAAGTTACTGTTAGGGAGGGGTGTAGAAAGGGGGAAATTGGATGGGAGCGGTTGGGATTGCGAGGGAAAAGGCACCGAAGGGCGAAATAGGAAGCCAAGCAGTCCCAACCCCGAGCCGCACGTTTGGGAATGTGCAGCTTGGGGTTGGGTAAGGGCAGTCACAGCCAACCCCTCGATGCTTTCGTGCTGTTATTCTCTCATATTAGTGGAAAGCTGTTACCTCTGATCTAGCATCCGGTGGCACGCCACTAGGGGAGGACCTACGGGGTGAGGGAGGAAACTCGTTCAATGTGGTGGCTGAGGCAGAGAAGGGAAGGTATCACGGGAACAGGGCAGAGGGAAGAAGGGAGGGAGGATGAGTGCCGGGAGGAGAGGGCAGGCCATGGGAGGAAACAGAGGAGGGGGCAGTGGTACGAGTGAGGCATCTCCAAGAGGGTCCTGTGACACGAGCTCAAGCGGCTAGAGCACGAGCACAGGAGGGGGCAGCGGTTGAGTGAGGCTTTGCAACACGGAGAAGGGAGGAAGCAGAGAGACAGCAGGAGAAGAGCAGGTGCAGGAAGAAGAGCAGGAGCAGGGAGAAGAGTAGGTGCGAGGAGCAGAGCATGGGCTGGGAGAAGGAAGGTTCTCCGACAATGGGCATGTATGTCATTGTCAAAATCAAAACATCTAGCTCACTGTCGTGGCCATCATTTCTCCTCACCAGCTATGGTCAGTAAGCCGTGCACAGCCAGTATGCCATCCCATGCTGCTGCAGGGTGTTCTCAAGCCGTGAGCCGTGAGAATTCTCAGAAACACCCTGCAGTAAGCCGTGCACAGCCAGTATGCCATCCCATGCTGCTGCAGGGTGTGCTCAAGCCGTGAGCCGTGAGAATTCTCAGAAACACCCTGCAGTAAGCCGTGCACAGCCAGTATGCCATCCTTTTGAGTCGGCTCAAAAGTCTCCTCACCAGCTATGGTTAGTAAGCCGTGCACAGCCAGTATGCCATCCCATGCGCCTCGTGCCATCAAATGCTCCTCGTGCCATCAAATGCTCCTCGTGCCATCAAATGCTCCTCGTGCCATCAAATGCTCCTCGTGCCATCAAATGCTCCTCGTGCCATCAAATGCTCCTCGTGCCATCAAATGCTCCTCGTGCCATCAAATGCTCCTCGTGCCATCAAATGCTTCTCGTGCCATCAAATGCGCCTCGTGCCATCAAATGCTCCTCGTGCCATCAAATGCTCCTCGTGCCATCAAATGCTCCTCGTGCCATCAAATGCTCCTCGTGCCATCAAATGCTTCTCGTGCCATCAAATGCGCCTCGTGCCATCAAATGCTCCTCGTGCCATCAAATGCTCCTCGTGCCATCAAATGCTCCTCGTGCCATCAAATGCTCCTCGTGCCATCAAATGCTCCTCGTGCCATCAAATGCTCCTCGTGCCATCAAATGCTCCTCGTGCCATCAAATGCTCCTCGTGCCATCAAATGCTCCTCGTGCCATCAAATGCTCCTCATCCCATCCCACACTCCTCGTGCCATCCCATGCTCTCCTCGTGCGTGCCTTCCCATGCTTCCGTCTCTCAATCAAGCATCCCTCAATCCCCTCCCTTTGCTCCTCTTCCTCGCCTTCCTCATCTTTTTGCTCTACCCTACACCCCCGTTCCCAACCCCCCACCCCCCTTCTCCCCCTCCCCCCTGATTGTCATCACGGCAGTGTGGGACGACTCAATCATCATAACAGTTCTCGGCTTTCTGGTAAGAATCACCTGAAGCTACTGTTGCTGTTGGTGTTGCTGTTGGTGTTAGTGTTAGTGTTAGTGTTGGTGTTGGTGTTAATGTTAGTGTTGGTGTAACGGGCTCCAGCTCAGCATTTCCAGAGCTAACCCTCACATCCATCACATTCCATCAGCTGTGGGTTGAAAGGTGCGAAGCTGTTTTCCGCGGTCAGAAGTTTCGCACGAATCAAGTGCTCCACAAGATTGAGTTCGCATTCAGGCAACATGCACGAATCTACACCCAAAAGTTTGGCACGGTTCGTCACAAACGGCATCGGAGAAATTTTATGGAGGAGCAGAACATGTTGGGAAAGATCAAGACGGTTGGCAAGAGTTGGATGTGGACAAGTGCGTTTGCCGCACTGTGGTCCAGGAGGAGGGCAAGCACTTCCCGCCCTTAGATATCTTATCTGGAACAGTAGCTCACCCTCTGTTCCTCACGCGCGGTTACGGCCGTCATGATGGTATATGCTTGCTCATCTCGGTGTATACTTTTCATATAATAAAAAAAAATAAAAAATAAAAAAATGTTAGTGTTGGTGTCAGCTTGGCCCCTCTTCCCTTCCCCTCTCACCACCAGCTATCCCTAGCGGTGAGAACGAAGCTTGAGTTCATCATGGCACAATTGGCTCTGGAGAGTGCACACGTCAAGTGGGGCTAATGACAGTACCCCCTCTTCCCCCACTGCCCTCCCCTGACTGCTTTCCTCCTTGTTTCCCCCATTCCCGTGCCCCCACCAGCTATCCCTGGCGGTGGGAACGAAGCTTGAGTTCATCATGGCTCAGCTGGCTCTGGAGAGTGCACATGTCAAGGGGGCAGCCACAGGCGCGCACTTAAAGCCACGCAACTCCCTCTTCTGGTTCCACCGCCCACGCCTGCTGCTCCACATCATGCATTTTGCGCTCTTTCTGGTGCGGCTTTTGTTTTTGCTTGTTTTTTTTTTTTTTTTTTTTTTCTCCAGTTTTCTCAAATATCCTCTCCTTCCTCATTTTTATTCTCTCGCCTATCCTCTTCAATGCCTTGAAAAGCTTCATGTCACATTCCTTCTCTTCTCCTCTTCTCCTCTCCACCCCTCCGTCCCTCCTCCTTTCCCGTCCAACCCCACCTCTCCCCTCGTTTGCTTATGTACAGAGCTCATATGCCTTGGGAAGCCTCATGTTTTATTTGGTGAGTTGCCATGCACGCGTGGTATGTTATTGTGTCATGCACGCATAGTATGGTATGGTGTCATGCACGCATAGTATGGTATGGTGTCATGCACGCATGGCATGACGCCATGCACACATGGTTGACATCATAATCAGTAATGCATATCCTTGGCATGCGTACCCATGCCTCTCCCCCCCCATCATGCTGTCCCTCCGTCTTCACCCACCCCATCGCCCTCTTTCCAATCCCTTCCCCCGTTATCCACTTCTCCCTTAGTCTGACTCTCCTCTTTTCCCCTCTCCCTAGTCCTCTCCATCCCTGTTTCCCTGTTTTTCTTTTTCTTTTTCTCTTCTCCCATTGTTTCCTACTTATAAGCCACCCACAATGCACCTCCTAGACCACAGTGTTCCTCGATCTCATCCCCAGGCCTCCCGTCTCCCCCACCTCTCCCACAAAAAACTTCTCCATATAAAATCCGCGGGAAAGTAAGCGTGTTTTGAGACGTCTCAAAACACGATCTCATCCCCAGGCCTCCCGTCTCCCCCACCTCTCCCTTTTCGTCTCCTCACTCCCTTCCTCCTCCCCCCACAATACCTACTGGCAAACCACCAGCAATGCACCTCCTCGCCGACGTGCCTCCTCAGTGTCATTCCCTTTCCCTCGCCCCCCCCCCCCCTTCTTCCTCTCTTCACCTGCCACTCCATTCCATTTCCTTTCCCGTTCTCCCATCCTCCCCCACAGTACCTACTGGCAAACCACCAGCACATGAACCCCCTCGCACATGTGCCTACTCAATCTCAAAGCCCAGGTGGCTCGCCCATCCCTGTTCCCTTCCTTCCCGCCTCCTCACTCCCTTCCTCCTCCCGCCACAGTACCTTCTGGCAAACCACCAGCAGTGCACCTCCGCGCCCACATGGCTCCCTGGTCTCAAGTTCGCAGTCATTCTTCTCACTCTCCTCGTCACCAGCCTCGCCTCGCTGCCTCTCTACGCCCTTGTCACACACGTAAGTGCTGGATTGTCTTTTGGTAGGGCCCTCAGAATGA